GCCCGAGGAGGAGCTGGACGGCTGCGAGCCCGAGCTCGAGCGCGGCCCCGGCGGGGACTCGCTGCCCGGCACCCCGCCCGGGCCGCCCGACGGGCTGCGGCAGGACTCGCTGGAGCTGATCAGCCGCTACCTGCGGGAGGCCGCGGGCGAGTCCCAGCCTCCCACCAAGAAATTGTTCCCGGGCCTGCTGGGTGGGCCTGGCCGGCCCGGCGGTTCGGGCGATGCCGTGATGGAGAAGGCGCTGGAGACGCTGCGGAGGGTCGGCGACGGCGTCATGCAGAAACACGAGCTCGCCTTCCAGGGTGGGTGGTGGCCGGCTCTCTGTCGACGGGGGCGTGGAGCGGGTGGTGTGCGTGGTGGGAGTGCTGCGGGCCCCGCCGGGCAACGGAGCGGGAGGCCGTGGGCCCCACTTCTCCCTGGGAGGCGAGTTACAGGCCTCCATCCCGGTAGGAGAGGTTCAGAGGGGGGGGCACAGGGATGCGGGTCCCCGGCAGATCCAGGCCCCGTGTCTGCTCCCTCTGCCGTCCGTGTGCGGCCTCGAGGTGGGTGGGCTGCAGGCTGCTCTACGGCAGGGATGTGGGGAGGCCCAGGCCGGGGCTGAAGCAAAGTCTCTGCGCCCTTCCTTCCCAGGAAGAAGGGGGTGGGGGGCGCCTGAGTTTTGGGCCGGGTCATTTATCGGATGGGATGTGGCCCTGGTTTCGAGGGAGTTAAAACAGCTTAGAAGTGATTAAAAATGAAACTGAACTTTGTTCGACTGGGAGGTGGAAAAAACACTGGTAACGTGTGCAGAGGAGATAATCTAGTTACAGATTAGCCCCAGTTCCTGCTTGCGTCTTGCTTTGCTCAGCATGACTATATGCAAATAATCCCAAGTGTACAAAGATTAGTTAGCTCAGGAGTTTAAGCTCATCATACCTCTGGCTCGGGTAGAATGGGGTTTCTGGGGGAGAAATTCTCCCAGACAACGTGCTCGAGTTATAGCTATTTTAATATATTTTACCCGGTTCTGTTGAGTCCTAGAATAGCCACAGAAACTTGAACCCCAGTGCTTGGGTTTGGAAGAGCAGGTGTCCTTGCTGCAGTGTCCTGGGAATGTGAGAACTGGTGATTTTGACCTGGTTTCATCTAACTCGGAAATGAGCTGTTTTGTGGCTAGCCTGAGCCCTCATGGTAGGGGGGGCAAGCTCCTGGCCTCAGGGCTTGTGCTGGGACTGCCTGCAGCACACCAAACCATGTCTGATCCCAGATCAGGATGGTGCCTGACACAGAAAGGTAGTGTCTGCATTTCCTCCTGAGGTGGTGTGTGGTGAAATGCCTTCCTTTGCAGGAGGATGTTTCACTTTTTTTTTTAAATGCAAAGGTCTTCAGTTTCTTTCTTGTATCCTTAGCTGTGCTGAGGTAAAAGACTGCGAGTTCAGTTACCCTGGCCAAATTCATGGATGTGCTTGTTCAATGAGCCACGCTTGGGAGAAATGTTCAGACCAATGTGAGTTGGCACTGGTATTTGAGGCTTCTGTAGGGACAGCTACCTTCATGTGTGCAGAAAAGGAACTGGCTTCAGGAAGGCTTCTTGTTAGTTTGAGCAATAATAAGCAATGCCTTTCGGTTTCATAAAGGCTTGTCTTGTTTGCTTATTCATGAGGTGGCACTGCAGGTCAAACTGGGGAGTTCAGTTGTTCCAGTCACTAAAACCACCTGAATAAAACAACAATGTGGCTGCCTGGCTGTAGGTGACTGTCTTGCATTTTGGCTTGAGGAGCAAGACTCGCTCCAGGCTGCAAATCAACTTCTGGGCTGTGGTTCTTACATTGTGGGGCTTTAACCCCTTGTGAGATAGTGGAGTGTGACATGCACAGAGCCAGCAGCTGTGCCTGAGGTGGGGAGGAAGGAACTAGAAATAGATTATGGGCTCTTTTTTGTCTGGCCCAGGTGAGTGTGAGCAGCTGAGCCCTCTGTGGAAGGAGGCAGATGCTTGCTCTCTGTCACTGACACTTGGTGGTGACTTAGCTTTTCAGACCTAGAGTGTGGGTGCTTTGTCTTCTCACTGGTGCAGGGTATTTGATGTCGTGTGTGCCTGCCTCTAAACCAGTGTCTCTTAGCAGGAATGCTGCGGAAGCTGAAAATCCAGAAAGAGGAAGATCTGCAGTCAGTGTGTGAAGTGGCTGCCCACGTATTCAGTGATGGAGTAACAAATTGGGGTCGAGTGGTGACACTCATCTCCTTTGGTGCCTTTGTTGCAAAACACCTGAAAAGCATAAACCAGGAGAAGTGCATCAGCTCGCTGGCAGGGATCATCACGGATGCGCTTGTCTCGTCTAAACGCGAGTGGCTGATGAGCCAGGGAGGCTGGGTGAGTCACTGCCTGTACCAAACACTGTGAGCTTTTCAGAACAATCCAATATTTTCCCATTTCTGTGACCTCACTGACAACCACATGTGTAAGTGAAGCACAGAGATGACTCACTGCTCCAGTTAAAACCACGGGTTTTTTAAAGCCACACCCAGCTGGAGTTCTGATGTTTCAGGAGCTCCTTAAAATGAGCTGCCTGAAGCAGTCCTGACCTAAAAATGTGCCCCCCCCTGCCCCAGTGTGGGGGTGCCATTCCCAAAGCTGAGTCAATCCTGGGTGCACTGAGCTTGCCTGAAGCTGGTTCACAGCCAATTGCTGCCTCTGTGGAATGGTCTGTGGTCATAATGAGGCTGGGGGAGTGCACTCGGTGGATGTGCTGGGCAGGCTGTGCTCTGTCCCACTCTGCCAGGAAAAACGGCTTTCTGTGCCTTCCTGCCAAAGAAAGGTGGCTGGCAGGGAAATGACTTTCCCTTCTTTCTCCTAGGAGGGCTTTGTTGACTTCTTTCGAGTCGAGGACCTGGAAGGCAGCATCAGAAATGTACTGATGGCGTTTGCAGGTGTGGCTGGACTGGGAGCAAGCTTGGCCTACATGATCCGATGAGCCAGGGTGTGCTGCCGAGGGACAAAACTCTGGGCGGACTGGCTCTGTTTGGGCTGGTGAGCTGATCACTTCTTCCTGTGAGTTCTTATGAAGCTGGACTTGAGTGACCCAAGGAGAATATCCAGGCATCCCCTGAGTAATCCTTTCCTAAGAAGGAAGGTGTGATCCTCATCCTACTGATGAGGATTTATTGCTTTGGGAACAGAATGTGGAAGAATTGATATTCTACTTCCTTCAAGAGGGTGATGACAGAGAGCTCAAGTGGACTGCTTCAGTTCTATGCTGGAGGGAACCGATCTGCTTAGCAGGAAGCCAAGTGAGCACCAGCGGCGCTTGTCTGGACTGAAGCCTCCTGGGCTTGGCACAGCAGCTGTTCATGGAGCAGATGTTTCAGGGTTGTGATTGTGGGGTTCTGGAAATAGCAGCTTGTGCTGCTGGTGTCCTGCCTAAGCTTGTGTCTTTCCTGTTGGAGCAGAAGCATTGAATGCTGGGGTTGTATGAGCCTCTGCCTGCCCCCAGGTGTGCAGGCAAGCAGGCCTTCGGCCACTGCTGGCCCTGCACGCATCCCCCCTCCAGAAGCAGTAGAGCCATGCTAGCATCTGAGATGTGTGCCCTGCTGCCAGAATGTGAGTGCTGGAGACCTCATGGTCCCTTCTTCCCCACAGCAAGGCTTCAGCCTGGTCACTGAGCAGGCAGAGGAGAGGCTGGGGCTCAGGGTGGTGACAACAGCCAGCTGCGGCGCAGCTGCATGGGCCTGTCTGGCTGAGCTCAGCGACACCGATGCGACTCGCCACACACAGGCAGTTTAAAAATAGGCAGTGTGTTTGTAAGTATGTAAAACCCCACATGGGGTGGGGAGGCTATAGGGAACTTGTAAATATCTATAAATCTGTAGAATATGTACATTTTTACAGAGATAATGATACAAAAAGGAGGAATTTTGAATGTGGTAGAACTGCTTGTTGGTGCACTCTACTTCATTCCTCATGTGAAGTAGCATTTTTGTGGCGAAGCCTTCTCCTGCCTTGACTCCAAACGAGCCTTTCTCTGATGTACTTGAGCAACATTGCCAGGGAGTGTAACAAGGATCAGTGGCCTGGTGGACTCTTATTGTGCCCATGGCTTGCTGGCAACAGTTGATGTTTCTACTTATTTTAATCTTTTTGGTTATTCTAGCCCTTGTAGTGGGTGGGGAGCTGTGGAAGTTGGTATCAGTCACTTCCTTGTCTTCCCTTCATTTTGATCCTCTAAGCTGCGAGTTGAACGAAGCTGATGTTTGAATGTAATTGTTCTGGAGCAGAATAAAACTCACTGGCTCAGATCTCTAGCTTGTGCAAGTCCATCAGTGCCAGCCCTGGTCTTGGTCCCTGGTCTCCAGCTGGTGGTGTTGCTTCTCGGTGGGCTTCCAGTGCTTGTCTGCCTTAGTGCCCTCTGACTGTGGACTGGTTGGTTCTTGGGGAGCTCCACTGTGTGGAGCACAGTGAGGAACATTCTCGTCCACGGTGCTTGACCTGCAACCTGAATGACGCCTGATGGAAACCCAAGTGGAGAGCTGAAAGATGGTGCTATTATCAGGCCTGCTTGTTTGCTCAACAAGCGCTTAGTCAATAAATGTCTCTTGTTCTCAATCCTCTAGTATAAAACTTGCTGTTTCCTGCAACAAGTTGCTGACGTGCTAAATGCTCCTTTTCTGCTTTGCTGGCGTGGGCCTGTTTGCACAGATGCTGCCTGTGGGTACCCTGCAGCCTCGTGCTTATTAGAAAGCCTCTGTGGGCTGTGGAAAACTGCTCTGGGTGTTTTGTTTCACCTGTCGGGGCTCCCCAGAGCTGCTTTGTGCTGAAATGCTCTTTTCCTTCTCTGTGTATGTGGGTGGGGAAAGTCCACAAAATGCCTTGTGTTCAGTGCCTGCACGCTCCAAAACAACTCTTCTTGCGGCACCCAAAGCGTGCTGCACCTCTGGGTGCTTGCAGCTGGGGCTCTTCACCCTCTGGTCAGTGAGGCAGGGGCCCGCAGCCCCGAGGGGAAGGGACCTTCCTGGAGCCCTGGGGTGAGCTCTGCTCTTCCCCTTTTCCAAAGGGGGAGACGTGCTCCGTCTTGTCTAGCATTCCTCTTGTCCCCTCTGTGGCAGAGCAAGCTGGTGTTGCAGTTGCTTTAGTCTTTTGGGGGGACTCTGCTCCCCCAGACCACTCCCTGCCCTGTGGCCCCCAAGTTTTGATTCCTGCTCGCATGGATGGAGGAAGTGCACAGCCTGGCTACGTGCAGACCTCGCTTGGGCAGTGCTGTGATGAACAGCTTCCTCCTGCCAGGACCTGCTCTGCTGTGGGAGCTGTGGCTGGAAAATCCCCTTCCTGAGGGGCGAAGCAATTTCCTACACCAAAAAGTCCCTTGCTGGCTCCAGGCTTGTGGGCTGTTGAGCCTTGCTGCAGATGGGGCGAGGCGACAGCTTCCTGCAGTGCTGATGGGGCCCTCCCCACCAAAGCCAAGTTGGTGGCTCAGCCCTGCTATGCAGATATTGTAAAATGGGGTTTTGGGGTGTGTGTATGTTTGTTTGTTTTTTAAGTGCAGTGTCTTGGTGAGCTATTTGGGCCCGTTCAGTGCCTGGGGCCCTCATGCAAAGCTGGGCCTTTGCCATGGAAATATGCAAAGGTGCTGGGGGGGGTGGAGGGGTGTCAGGGCTGCTGCTCATGCTTCCTGGAAGCCACATCCTGATAACGCCTGGCTCACCGCTGATAAACCGGGGGCTTCCTCTTCCGCCCCAGCCAGGGCTTTTCGCAGAAGCTGACTTCGACTTCTCTGAACTGTTTGTGTAAATAAGAGGGGGTGTGTATGTTGGGGGGGGGAATTAAAGCAGCAGCTCAGCCTGATGGTATGCAGGGGTTGCTGCAGGTTAGGGGTGTCTTCAGCACCTTGGCTGGCTGCATTGGGGTCCCCCTTTGCCTGGGGTGGGGGATGGGTGAGGAGGTGTTAGCAGAGCAGCACCAGCCACTCCCCTCGCCTCCGCACCCAGCAGGGCTGGGCAGGATCCGGCCCCACTGCCTCTGACTTCCGAAAGCTGGCATTGACGTGCTGGTGGGTGGGTGGGGGCACATGCAAATGTAAAAAGTCCCCCAGCAGGGAAAAAAAACCCCACCCAATTCCTGCCCATTTCTAGCTTGGTTGCCCCAGTCTTGTGTTGGGGTCTCAGATAACATTTCACGTGATTTCTTACAACAGGAAACTGGGCTGCTGTTGCCCTAAATGTCCCTTTCTTCTCTGGGAGGTTGTAGGGAGCTGGGGGTGCTACTCCCCTATCTTGCTGGCACAGCGCTTCCCCTCGCAACCTGCCTGGGGAGGAGGCACCGGGGTGCAGCCAACTCCCACAGCTGGTGTCTTGCAAGGGTGGGACTGGATCTGTGGGGAGCCCTGGGGAGCTGAGTCAGGGGGAGCGGGCGGGGACAGGACCCCCCCATCAGGGACAGGTCCTTGAAACCCAGAGATTTTGCAGGGAGAAAGGCTTCCTGGAGCAGCACTGACAGCCCCCATCCCTCCAGAAATGGCCCCGGCGTCATCAGGGTGGCCCACAGGTGGGTGCTGGACACCCCCACCCAGCTCCCTGGGATTGTCCCTGTGGGGGGAGGCCACTGGGCATGGGGGTGGATGACTCATTTGGGCTGAGATGACAAGTTGTTGGTTTCGGCAGACGAGGGGGGGTGTGGGGGTGTCACTGACTTCCTGTAGTGAGCCTGCTAGGCATTATACCCCCCATGCAGTGGAAGGGTGGTCCCCAGGGCAGGGAGGGTGGCTGCTGGTGGGTTCTGGCCCGTCCCTGGGCTGACCCCAGGTTTGGGCTGGTGTCAGGGTGCACCCTTGGGTTCTGGCTCGCCTGCGCAGCTCTGCCCAGCAACAAGGGCTGCTAATAGTTTATGGGGAAGTCACGTGGGCCTCTTCCAGGAACCCAGGCGTCCGGTGTGGCCCATCCCCCTCCTGGCCCCTGGGGTGACATTGGGGTGGGAGCACTTGCATCCCCTTGCCAGCCCTAGGCAGGGGGCTGTGCCAACGGAGGCCTCGCTCCTTGCCTGGAGGGCTCTCTGCCCCTGAGCATGGGGTTTACGGGGGGTGTAGGGGGCTCTATTGGGGTAGGGTGGTGTAAACGATGTGAGTGTGGGATACAGGGGTGTCTGTGGGGCTTTAGAGGTACGTACAGGACATGGGGGCTGTATGGGCATAGGGTGTGTGTATGGGGCAGAGGGAGTGCACAGGATCTGTGAGGGGCTTTGTAGTTACAGGATTTATAAGGTAGGGGGACATGGGGGCGGGTGGGGGTGTGGATACTTACACATCTGTATATGCATTGATTGGGGTGGGAGGCAGGGTTTGGGTGTGTGTCCAGGGCTGTCCCTGCTGCAGGGCCGGTGTGGAATGGGGCTGCTGTGGGCCTGGCGTCGTGCCAGCGTGGGGCAGCTGTGGGGCTGTGGCCACAGACCTGCCCAGGCAGGAGCCAGCAGTGACTCAGGCAGGAACGTGCTGGCAGGACACAGTGTTCCGGCAGCACCCAGTCTCCAGCCCTGCGTCTGCCATGCTGCTGGCAGCCGTGTGGCCGATGCCTCTGAGTGGCCCTGTCCCACTTGGCCCAGCCCCAGTCCCACACCCCACTGGGGGCTTGTGCTCTGTGCACCCCAGCACTGATGCACATGTCCCGCAGGGTGCCCGGGAGTGGTGCAGGGAACAGGGAGGACACTGGACTGTCCCTGAGCAGGACAGTGCCTGTGGGGACACTTGGGACAGGCCACGGAGCAGCACAGCCCCTGATGGGGGGCATGTGTGACACATTCCTGTGGGAAGCAGGTGGGGACACCAAATTAATCTGCCCCATGTAGCTGATGTCCCCTTGGAGGTGTCCTGTGGGCCAGGGGTAGCTGTGAGGTGCTGGGGAGCTATGGGCTGGGGGGGGCAGCGCTGGGTTATGGGCACAGGTGGCGCAGCAGGCACAGAGCCAGGCCTGGACCCCCACTGCACAGTGTGTGTCCCTGCAGCTCTTCACTGGTGGGGGGAAACTGAGGGGCCCCAGTGTCCTGGCATCCCAGCCCCACCTCCTGCCCCAACCCTGCCCGGGCTCCAGGACGTGGGGTGGGTGTTGCCAGAGTGCTTGGTGCTGGTTTTATGGTGGGGGCACAGAGGATGCTGACTGTCTTCTTGGGAGTCAGGCACTGGGTGTACCATGCCTGGGTGCCCTCCAACACGCTTGGGAGCACTGTGGGGACATGGGAACTGCCCTGAGGATGGGGCGAGGTGAGAGGACGTGTATGGATGCTGCGCGCCGTTCTAGCGAGCGGGAAAGAACGACGCACCAGTATGATGCAAGTTCAAATCCAACTTTATTCAACAGGCTGCGTTCTTACATATTCTTTTTGTTCTCCTGTACACGCGATCACGCTCCAAGCATGCAAAATAGAGCAAGCTTGATTGGGTAGCACGCGTTGTCCACGCACCCTTAGTCCTTAAGTGATTGGTTAGCCTAAAAAGATACTATATGCATATGATTCCTGTTATCAGCATTTTTCCATCCGCATTTTCTTACTTTTCTGCTAACTTAAATTGCAACTGTATCCGTTAGTTTTAGCTCATGGCCTTGGTTCACAAACCCTGGTATTCATTCAGTATCGCTAAGGCCCCAACATCTCCCCCTTTCTTTTTAAGCAATGCATCAAGGCTCCGCGACAAACAATTTTGAAAGCACTGTAAAACACATGGGATAACCATTAACAGAACACATACAAAAATCAGAATAGTAACCCCTTGTTTACACAAGTCCCTTAACCATCCTGTGATTCCCAGAGATGTAAACCATGCATCTAGTCCACTGATTCCTTCCTTCACATTTTTCACTCTATAACGCAGTTCCTCAATTTGTTGATAAATACTTTTCGAATGATCCGAAAGGTTCATACAGCACATTCCTTCAAACTCCTTACAACCATGACCATGAGCTAACAAAAGGAAATCAATAGCGGCACGGTTTTGTAGTACTGCATGTCTTAAGCTATCTACATCGCTAGCAAGTCCAGAGAGAATGTCTGAAGTAGTATTAAATTCTTTTACTGCCCAACATGCTAATCTTTTAATTCTGTTCCAATTACTTGCAGCCATTCCTCCGGGTAAAAACCAGGACAAAGCTACAGTCGTACTTAGCTTGCCGAGGTTTACTTTATCATTACAATTTGGATTTAATTGACGCAAGGATCTCTTGGACCTATTGTATGGCCGTGTCATCACGTCCCTCATGTGAGGTGCAAATAGTGTAAGCTTCCCGATATAGCAAGGACCTCCAACTGGGCGATGTGGTATCCCAGGCCAAGCCCGATCCCCACAAATAAGAAAATAACCTCGGGGTAATTTCACTCCACCCATAACTATCACATCTACTTCACCCACATGCCTAGTTGTATTCCAATGGTCTGACTTCCCTGACACATTCTGGTATCCTATAAACAGATTTGTCTCACCATGCTGATATTGCCACCTATCCCAGGATGATTGAAAGTATATGGCACTTGACCCATTAATTGGGAGTATCTGTGGAGAATTGTTTGTGCAATTGGTCCGGTTGGTAATGTTGAGCCAATTACCATCAACTGAAGGGAAAGAGCCC